TATTATAAGGGCAGAGCAAATCATTACAGCACTCAAGGGTGCAGGCGAAGCACCAAGTGAAGAGTTAATTATGGCGATGGTTATGAGAGGTCTACCGGAAAAATACAAGCCATTTACACTGATGGTCACTCATGGCCCAACTGACATGAAGCTAGCAGAGTTCAAAGCCAAACTGAGAAACTTTGAAGCTTCAGAGGATTCCGCACCTGCTGCAGAGGAACCTGAGGAGAGAGTACTTAAAGCCAAATTTGTGTCAAAGAAAAAGAACAAAGTTTGACATTAATGTGTACAAACGAATGTATGATCTACAAACTGAATGTGATGAAAGTGATGTGTGTAATGTCAGTCATGACATACAAACATGGCACGAAATCATGGGCCACTGCAATTACGATGACATTCTTAGGTTACAGGGTGTGACAGTGGGTATGCACGTCAAAGGTGACAAACGTAGACCTGACAAAGAATGTACTGTATGCATTGAAGGCAAGTTTGCCCAGACGAGAAATAGAGATGCAGTTGAGAAAGTGAACACCCCACTTGACTTGGTTACAACTGACTTAGCCGGACCGGTGAGCAATGGATCTATTGACGGTTTCAAATATATGCAGTCTTTCACAGATGTATGTACAGGGGCAGTTTTTACTTACTTTCTCAAATCGAAAAGTGATGCAGAACAGGCAACAGAAAAGTTTTTGGCGGATGTAGTGCCTTACGGCACTGTAAAATGTATTCGGTCCATTAATGGAACCGAATTCACAAACAGGGAGTTTCAGACACTATTGAGAAAGAATAAAATCAAGCATGAAACGTCCTGTCCCAATTCCCCACACCAGAATGGGATTTCAGAGAGGGAGGACGCACTCTTTTTGAGATGGCAAGATGTAAGCTTATTGATAGCAATTTACCCAAAAGCCTTTGGCACTATGCTGTCCAAGAAGCTGCCTACACGAGAAACAGATGCTTTAATAAGCATACGGGTACAACCCCCTACACAGCACTAACCGGCAAGAAATGTGATTTATCAAAAATGCACAAATTCGGGTCAGAGTACTATGCATATCAACAAGAAAAAGGTAAATTAGATTCAAGGTGTGAAAAGTGTCCTTTGTAGGACACGACAAGGGAAGCCCTGCTTTTCTACTTTACTACCCTAGTAAAGGAAAAGTACAAAAGAACAGATTAGTGAAATTTATCACGAAGACAACTTGTGAGAGTGCAACCCAGACACAAGAGGTTGGCCTAGACTCCATTGCAGATGTTGAGATGGGTGGAACACCGCAGCTGGGTACCCTGAACAGAGACATGGAAACAGAAGTGTCACAGTCACCAGAGGATGTTGGCAAGAAGCACCCTCGAGTGACGCCACAAACCTCAAGGTATCCCAATAGAGAGCGTAAACCCCCTAGTTACCTCTCTGATTATACTCAAGATGATAGTAGTGACGAAGACAGCATGCTCACTAGCGTAGATTACTGCTACAGAGTAGTTTGTGGTATACCATTGACCTTCAAGGAGGCCATGGCATCCACTGAGTCAAGAAAATGGAAACAGGCAATGGATGAAGAGATGAAGTCCTAAGAAGAAAACCAGACATTTACCCTGACTAGCCTACCAGAAAGCAGGAAAACAGTGGGAGGTAGATGGGTTTATTCAATCAAGGAGAACAGTGAAGGACATGACCAATATAAAGCAAGGTTTGTAGCTTAGTCAGAGGCTATAGTCAGAGGGCAGGCGTAGATTATGGTGAGACCTTCTCACCCACAGCAAATTTGACTAGTGTGAGAGTGGTCATGCAGAAGGCAGCCGAAGAAAATTTGACATTCCATCAAATGGACGTAAAAACGGCCTACCTGCATGCACCCATTGACAGAGACATTTACATGGAACAGCCTGAGGGTTATGAAAAAGTGGAAGCAAAGTTGGTGTGCAAGCTACAGAAGTCCATTTACGGTTTGAAACAGTCGGGCCGCAATTGGAATGAAATGCTTCACAAATGTTTGACTGATGATGGCTTTACACAGAACCCGGCTGACCATTGTGTCTCCACAAGAGAGTCTACAAAGACAGGAAAAATCATCATTGTTATTTGGGTTGATGACCTCATCATCGCAGCCAATAACATTGAGAGTCTAAAACAGGTGAAAACTATGCTTTCCAGTCAATTTAAGATGAAAGACCTAGGCAGGCTAAAACACTTTCTGGGCATAGAATTCAGCCAATCTGATCACTGTGTGAAAATGTCACAAGAAAAGTATGTGGGAAAGATTTTGCAACGTTTTGACATGCAGGAGTGTATAACAAGGGAGACACCGTGTGACCAAAAGATACATTTTTCCGAGGATTCACCTCAGCTGACTGATTTGAAGAAATACAGAGAAGCTGTGGGTAGCCTTATTTATCTGGCTACATGTACACGTCCTGATTTATGTTTTGTGGTAAGCAAACTATCCCAGCATTTTGCTAATCCGACAAACGAACATTGGATCATGGTGAAACATGTTTTACGCTACCTGAGGGGTACAGCAGACAAACAAACTAGTCTAAAACAGGTGAAAACTATGCTTTCCAGTCAATTTAAGATGAAAGACCTAGGCAGGCTAAAACACTTTCTGGGCATAGAATTCAGCCAATCTGATCACTGTGTGAAAATGTCACAAGAAAAGTATGTGGGAAAGATTTTGCAACGTTTTGACATGCAGGAGTGTATAACAAGGGAGACACCGTGTGACCAAAAGATACATTTTTCCGAGGATTCACCTCAGCTGACTGATTTGAAGAAATACAGAGAAGCTGTGGGTAGCCTTATTTATCTGGCTACATGTACACGTCCTGATTTATGTTTTGTGGTAAGCAAACTATCCCAGCATTTTGCTAATCCGACAAACGAACATTGGATCATGGTGAAACATGTTTTACGCTACCTGAGGGGTACAGCAGACAAACAAACTTGTTTCCAAATTGAAGTTAATTAAGTTTGCAAAGGCAATGTTCGCCACATAGAAGACTTAATGTGTGGCATTCACTGTTTGTATGTAACGTTGTTGTATGTAGGTTGACTACGTTTACATGTACATACATATTTTTGCTGTACAGTGTAAAAGTCACTCATAAGTGGGAGTGTTGGGATTGTATGACAGCCTTTTGCGACTGGGCCAGCGGAGGGCAGTACAACTTTACTTTTTGTTCTTGGTGAGTGACGTCGTCAGCCCTATAAAAGGGAAACGCCTTTTCCCTCTTCTTCTCTCCACCTGTTCAATAAAACACGCCGATACATGGCTGAAGGAAACACCTCACACTACGTGTCATTCTTGGATGTTAGGCAGAAGGATGCCAATCTGCACGCGCTGTGAAGCAACTCTGCTAACAAAGCCACAATAACAACCAATAGGCTATAAACGGATGTCTACATTTTATTTGGGTTACATCAGTCTTAGTATTGGTTTGAGTTTTTTAATATGGTTAAATCAGATCACATTGGATAGATGACAGATGGACAGTTGGATCAGCAAATATACAGATACATAGATGATAAATGAAAAAATGTGTTTGCTTTATTGAGCTGAAACGTAACCCGGTTGTTCTGTCTACAGTATTTTTTCTCATATGAACCATAAAACTTGAGGACCTCATACCTCGCGTCACATTTTGGGCTTGTAGTGACGTCATCTGGTCCTGCTTTTTTTCAATTTGCTGCTCCAGATAACGTAGTTTCTCGATGACACACGGTCGAACTACTTTGTACAAGCCCCAGATGACCTCTCTTCTGCTGGTCTTTCCTTTTGCAAGTAATCAACACGAGAAACATTCATGCATTGTCTGATCCGCTTATCCTCACGAGGGTCGTGGGCGTGCTGGAGCCTGTCCTAACTGTTTTGGGCAGTGGGCATATTACACCCTGAACTGGTTGCCAGCCAATCGCAGGGCACACATCGACGAACAAATATTTGCGCTCACAATCACAGTTCGGGACAATTTAGAGTGTTTCATAAACCGGCTATGCGTGTTTTTGGAACATGGGAGCAATGTGAAATGAAGGGTTTTGTCACTTTTTATAGCTACAGTGAAACTCCTCTACAACGAAATCATGTTTGCAGCAAGAAATTTTCACAACAGGGGGTTTTTCACTGTAGCAAATTTGATCTCAGATGTAAGCACAAACACACTCACACACAAAAAGGGAAAGAAATTGCAAAATTTGGCTGTTTTTAGCATGATAACAAGTAAAGCATTCAAGGAAACGTTTGTTTATTTGAATGTCCGTCGAGCCACGGGACGCTTCGTAGTCCTCGATGGCCATAGTTAGCTCTCGGAGGCTAAAAACCTTACGCTAACTGGAGCGCTAATGAGAGAGAAGCGCTCCAGTTAGTGTAAGGTTTTTAGCCTTCAAGAGCTAACTATGGCCATTGAGGACTACGAAGCGTCCCGTGGGTGTTTTTAGCATGATAACAAGTAAAGCATGTGAGGAAAAGTTCGTTTATTTGAATGTCCGTCGAGCCATAAGCAATTTACTCTGAGCAGCTAATCGGATGCTACGGATCTAGCCTCAGTATCTACACACATAGACAGTGAGGTCCCTCTTGGCCAATAATGGCCAGGATGATGCTCGGTAAGCCAATGGCAGAGCAGCTATGAGTATGTTGAGTACAGGAAACTCGCAGCTGTGACCAAAAAAATCATCGTTCACTATGTAAACCAGTGTGGTGGTTGCTGTTGCCTTTTTTCGAACGAAGCAGTAGAGGTCGCTGTTGGATAAGACTTCATTGTAGTGAATGTCTTCGCGAGGCTGGAGCAGAGAAAATGATTTTGTATCATGCAACGGAGGTTTTCGTCGTATGGGGGGCAGGAGAATGGGAATTGCGTTAATGCATAAAGATTTTTTCACATAAGGGAGTATTTTCGCCCATGTAGGTTTCGTTCTAGAGGAGTTTCACTGTAGTACCTAGAAACCCGCACTTTGATTATATCGGCTTGTGCCAAGATGTTTGACTGCGGTCAAGCTAGCCTCCACTCGCAAAATTGAAGTCAAGTGGGCCACCACTGCGATTGTCAATACTGTGCATTACGGTAATCTGCCAGGCAAGCGGCGTTGGCCACCTTCGAAATAAAAGCGCACAACTAATGCATTCACGTCAGTTGTTTGGATTAAAAACGAAAAAAA